AGATTAGCGCATGTTTTGTGGAGAATGAAATCGCATTGCACACAACTGTAGAATGCTTGATAATTTATAGGTAAGACACATGCTTCACAACGGATGTTTCCACCACATGTGACTTTTCCTTCGTTGAGTTGTAAATAGTGTTCCTCGTGACTAAAATGTTGTATTAGGTTCACATCTATCACCTTAAATGGTTTGATTTCTTGACGTTCCTCTGGTATACCTTTTAGCTCTAACTTGTCCCAGACATCATTTCGTATAGCACATTTAGAATGGATAGCATAATTAGGACAAATAGAGCAAGAATATGCCCCATATGACCAATCAACTTTCTCGTGACAAAATCCACATATCCAACTCCCGGGACTTAGATGAAGACGCCTAGAAAGTCGATGCTCATGACGATTAACGTTGATGATCTCTGGTAAGTCAATACAACTTTGATGGATCATGAAATAGCATTGTTGGCATGAATAAGGACTTCGATCACCAGGCAACCCACAAGCATCACACTTAAAAGAGATGATCCTTGGCATAAGACTGATTTGATGGTCATGAGCTTTAGGAAATAACCTGATTGTAAGCGGTGGTGGATTCTTTACACAAGAACCATCCACACTGAATTTACAGATTGAACAATAATAAAATCTTTTCCATGACTGGTTTCCGCATATAACACATTCCCCATCAGAGAAGTTATGTTCTCCAGGTGTAAGGAACTTAAGAGGGTGTTTAGGGTGAAAAGGATGAGTTATCTCTAGAGGAAAGTTAGAACATTCAAAGTGGAATGTCATTTGACACTGGGAACATTTGTACAGATATCTATAATTTGATTTTTCACAAAAGTCACATCTATGATATGTGTTTGGCAGGCGGACAAGAGAGTGTTTGTGGGCTTTAGGATGTTCAATTACATCTGGTGGTGGAGTTTTTATACATGCCGTATCAACAACGAATTCACATATAGGACAGTGATAAAATATATGAAACAATATGTCCCCACACAACTTACAGTTTTTACGATTAGAATACCACTCACTGATGATGGAGAGGTGAAGANTGGAGAGGTGAAGAGAGTGTTCAGGATGAGAGTGGTGGTTGATCTCTAAAGATGACTCTGCACATTCTTTATGAAAATAGATTCTACATTCGTAGCAACGATAGCCATCTTTTGTGTAACCATTTTCTAGAAAGCAACCATGGCAAATGCGAACCCAAGGAGTAGGGTATAAAGGGTGTTTGTGAGTTGGTAGTTTTATTCTAATCATGGTGACAAACTTTTGTGATGATATTGAGCATATTAATCGATGTATTTATACCAATCAACAAAATAAAAGATTCTTGATCATAAGAAAACAACAAGAAAGGAATACATGCTAAACTTATGAATATGTTTCTCCTTTAGCAGATGCTAGCTACATATACTTTCTTGGATATATATTACTACAAATTCTTTCTTGATATTTACGCATGAATCTAGGGATTTGTTTTTACCAAAAAAAAAAAAGAATATAGGGATTTGTCATTAGATAAACTTTTAACAAACAAAAATTAAGATAGATAGAAAGAAAATGTTTAGCTAAAAGAGGCGCAATGAATAACTCAAGTCGCAAGGTTCATTCATTATATATATATGATAAAATGTGTTCTTATTTCATTGCTTGTGAATCTGAGGCCTTGCTCTAATAAGCAAAAAGAACATATATAATTGATTTTTCTCTCTCTTTTTTTCTTTCTTACAACATGATAAAAATGTATTTTCACAATTACAACACACTGGTTATATTTTTTAGAGATATAAATTTATGATTAGAAAATTTCGTAAACTATAATTAAATTTACAGTATGTCTGTGTAGTAAAATTTTGAGAAAACTGGTAATTTTGAGATTTTCCCTAAAAAATTAATTTTATTAATAAAATTAGTAGTAAGGCATTACTCACGTGTTTATATTTTGTAATTAGAGGCCTCTATTTAATTAATTCTGTAAGATTTATGTTAAGATAATCACATTTTAGAAAGTATTTATTTTGTTAAAACTTTATTTATTGCAACTATCCATTTGAACAAAAAAATCATTTTGCTCTGTATCAGCAGATATGTGGGTAGTATAAGAAAATTAAAATTTCATCTGTGTGCATAAATGATCCACAGGTTACAGAGATAATAAGCATTAAAGTTGGGAATATAAAAATGCTTAAAGACACTCCATTCAAAGGAGAATTTACCAAATATGACTCAAAATTTGGTTTTAACCACAAAAATAACTTCAAATTTGAATCAAATACAAAAGTAATTAAAAAAGTTAGTGAAATTACAATTAATTCCTTATGATCAAACAAAAAAATAGAGCCCATTTTATGAATATAACATTGATAAGTCGTCTGAGTCTTCTGAAATATTGTAAGTCGTCTGGAGATGATTTCCAAAAAAATGATTCTACGTAAGTCTTCTGATGTTTTTGATATTAAAAAAATAATTTATAAATTCTTTTAAAAAATATATTGACAAGTAAAAAATTAAATTCATTTAATTATAAACAGTCTTAAGTGATGTAAATTAAGATATAATAAAACTGAATAGTTTTTAACATAGATGAGTGAAAGTAGTTAATCATGCTATTCTTTGGATTAGGGTTTGGTAACATATGTTGTAGTATTTTATGTATTCTTAGGGTTAAATTTTGGAAAACTTAAATATTTTTTTTAAAAAATTAAACTTTTCCCTATATGTGTTTATTTATGTGTATAGTAAACACTTTTTAAGTTTAATTTAATTTTATGAAGCTTTTAGTTAGTTAATTTAGTTCAGAGGCTATGTTTAGGGTCTAAATCGCCTGTTGATATTTAAACCAGACGACTTACATATAAGTCGTTCTAATATTTTCGCCTAAATTTTACTTTCCCGCTTAAATATTATTTTATTTAGTAAAAAAAAATAAAAGATTCTTAATCTTAAGAAAACAACAAAGAAAGGAATACATGCTAAACTTATGAATATGTTTCTCCTTTAGCCGATGCTAGCTATCATATACTTTCTTGGATATGAATTAATAGACATTCTTTCTTATATTTACGCATGAATCTAGGACCATGATTTGTCATTGGATAAACTTTTAACAAACAAAAATTTGGTAAACATTCTTAGACCATGATTTGTCATTGAATTAATAGACATTCTTTCTTGGACCATGATTTGTCATTGGATAAACTTTTAACAAACAAAAATTTGTTTAGGGTCTAATTCGTTTTTTGCACTTAAAAGATTGGTACAAGCTAGAATGGATTTGTAATGAATACGTTGTACCATACGTACGCCATGCATCGGTTCTGGATACCCACGACACCACCCAAGAGAGACAATGTTAATACTTATACATAATCGGTTCTTATTATTGTTTATGACAAAAAAACATTGGTTTATGGCTTTCAAAATATTAATGGTCAATATATAATATAATGTGGCTTTCAAATATATTACTAGACATATAAGTATAATGATTATTAATTTTTTTTTTTTACGTTTGATGCTCTCTCTCCCTCTTTTTTTTTTTTTTTTTTTTTCTGAAAAAGGGCTTTTATATTAAAAACATAACTATTACAAGATAAGATAAAGAGTCTTATAGTTGGGTAAAGATTGCATGAAAAGCTTCATGAATAATTGAATCTCAGCTAATGAAACAACAAAAGCTGAGAGTAGAGAAACCGACAATACAATGAACGGCAAAAGCTAGTGATAAGAACCACGACCTTGACGGCCACGCTTTCCCTTCCCTCAAGCTGTCTTCCATTCCATGTATTGGTATTTGATAGGGGGTTTTGTCTCCCTCCCACCTCTTGTCAAGCTTAGCGTATTCTGACACGGAAAGGTATTCAAAAGAGCAAAAAAAANGAGAGTAGAGAAACCGACAATACAATGAACGGCAAAAGCTAGTGATAAGAACCACGACCTTGACGGCCACGCTTTCCCTTCCCTCAAGCTGTCTTCCATTCCATGTATTGGTATTTGATAGGGGGTTTTGTCTCCCTCCCACCTCTTGTCAAGCTTAGCGTATTCTGACACGGAAAGGTATTCAAAAGAGCAAAAAAAACAAATGTCGACAAGAAGTATATTATACTATACATGTTAATACTTATACATAATCGGCTCTTATTATAGTGAGATGAAATATTTGTTTATGACAAAAAACATTTGTTTATGGCTTTCAAAATACTAATGGTTAATATATAAATAGAATATAACTTTCAAATTTATTACTAAACATGTAAGTATATTGATTATTTATTAGTTGTTTCAAGTTTGATATACTCCTGTCAACAGATTTGGGTTATAGACTTAAGTAAATCAAATGATAGTGATATGATATATATCCTTATCAGTTAATGTTTAAAAACCCAACTTCATTTATGGATTGTGGAAAACGGAATTGTTTTTCTTGAACATACTATTGGAATGTTAATGTTTAATTTTCTAGATGGCGTCCTAGCAGAAAAACATAAAATCTAATTTTTGATTTTTAATAAATAAGATATACAAGTCCAAAAACAAATGATAAACAACAAATATATCTCATAAAAGTATTCAAACATTATTTGTGTCACATTATTATATATCATCTACTTAATTTATTTCCACATTTATCCCACCTAAATACTTACAAAATGAATGTTCGAAAATAAAATATAAAACCTTGTGTCCTTTTATTCTAGATTCAGTATGTAGTAAAAGTACACAATTCTTATCATATAAGATGAGGTGTTGGATACATGCACCATAAGCCATGCAAATTGAAATGTGTCAACTCCATGCATGTTACTGTTTGTTCTCGTGGTTTATCCCTCACGACTAATTGCAAAAACACACTTAACTCACACAAACATAACACACATTGTGTTAATTAACCCTTCGTTTTAGATCTGAAAAGAGTTGAGATACTTCACTATATTAACATCAACAAGTAGAGGAGACGATGATCTTATATTATACGTTCATAAATTTGGTAAGATGATAAACCAAACCAACTCTAGCCTTACTTTATCACTCAAAAACAAATCCGTTGAGCTTGTTATACCTTCAAAACACACTCCTTCTGGAACTCTATCCCTTTCTAGTTTAGACAACTACCCTCTCGGCGAAATCAGGCATGCAACTGTTTACGTTTTTGAAGCTAATGAAAAGAACCAAAATGATCCGGTCTCTTTGCTTAGGAAGTCTTTGTCCGAACTTCTTGTTTACTATTATCCACTTTCAGGGAAGTTAGTGAGACGAAAAAGTGATCAAAAGTTCGAGCTGGTTTGTAATGAGGAGGGAGTCCCTTTCGTAGTCGCTTCTGCAAATTATGATCTCCGCTCGTTAAACTATATAGACAACTTTGTCGATGAAGTTGCGTTGCGACTTGTGCCTGATATCGAGGTTAACAGTGAAAGTGAGATAGGTTATCATCCTCTCGCTGTGCAGGTATCCTATTGTTTTCTAATATATACATACATATATTATGTTCTACAAATCATTTTAGGCCTAGCATCTGTCTATCTAAGCACTAATCTTGTATAAGGCACCTAGCGAGTTTTTGAATATTACTTATATATGATTTGAATTATTTTAATGTTGACTTTAGTGTTGTGAAGTATCCAATGTTCAGGCATCTGTCACCAGATGTCCAACGCTTAGTATGATATTATCCGTGTAAAATTTATTTTTGAATCCTACTCTCAAAAGACCTCATACTAAATGAGACATGACTAGATATATATCGCACAAGACACTCTATGATAGGGTAACATAATTCATGTCAGATAGTGTATTTTAACACAATATAGTTCTTTTCATATTGAAGGTAACCAAGTTTCCTTGCGGTGGATTCTCCATTGGCACAGCATTGTTACACGTGGTGTGCGACGGGTTTGGTGCGGCTAGGTTCATTCATTCTCTAGCTGAGTTGGCTGGAGGAAAGAGCAAGCCATCGGCAGTGCCGGTGTGGGAGAGAGAGCGGCTGGTTAGGGAAATAGACAATCAACCGGCTAGAGTTCCCGCCGGTGCAGGTGCTAGAGGGAATCTATTGGCCACTTCACCGTATATGCCGAGTAGTGATTTGGTACGTTTATAAATCTTTAAATTTTTTAGGTAAAGGTAAAGTATATTTGATCAAATTAAAAATGGATTGATATAAAGAATAGAATGTGTTCTTGTGTTCATGGCCTGTGATTCTGAGGCTTTACTCCAATAAAAAGAACTTACATAACTGATTTTTGTCTTTTTTTTTTTTTTTTTTACAAAACCTTCTCAGAATATAAATTCAAAATTACAACACATTGGTTATATACTCTAGAAATACAACTCTATAAATTCGAAAACTATAAATTTATGTTTGTGTGGTAAATTTTGGGAAAACTGGTAATTTTAAGAATTACCTTAACAAATTAATTTTATTAAAAATTAATAGTACAGTATTAATTTCGATTTCATACTTTGTAACTAGACTCTTTAGATGTGATGGATTTATGTTAAAATCATCACATTTAGAAAGTGTTTATCTTTTAAAAAGCTTGATTATTTGCAACTATCCATTTGAACCGTAAATTTTTTTTTTTTGCTCTGATTGAACAGTAGACATGGAGTAGTATAAGAAAAGAAAAAAAAAATCAGCTGTGTGCATATGTGATCCACAGGTTACAGAGATAAGAAGCATTAAAGCTGCGAATATTAAAATGCTTAAAGATACTTTAAACGGAGAATACAAATTTCCCGAGGAGAGTTTCACTACTTATGAAATTCTAAGTGCTTGCATATGGAAATCAAGATCTCGAGCCCTAAACCTAGACCTTGACAAGCTCACTGTCCTTGGCATAGTAGTGGGAATCCGACATGTTCTTGATCCACCACTACCAGAGGGTTACTACGGCAACTCAATTATAGACGTGTTCATCGAGCTAACCACAAGAGATCTCCATGAATCATCAATCTCTGACATTGCCAAACTCGTGAAGAAAGCCAAGAATAAAGCTTATGCCAAAAGCTATGTCGAGGAGGTGCTAAGAAACATGGAGAGAATGATCAAGGAGGATGTGCAGTTCAACGAGGTAGTCGATGGATTATTTTTCATGACCGATATGCGAAACCTCGCGGTGTTTGGACCAATGGATTTTGGTTGGAAAGAGCCTGTGAATATAAGGGGTCTTATGTTTAAAGAAAGCGCCAAGAACATGGGGATGATATTAGGACCATCCAAGCTGGATCATCAAGCAATGGAAGGTAGTGTTAGAGTGGTAATGACATTGCCGAGAGATGCAATGGTTAAGTTCAAGCAAGAACTAGATGCATTGATGCATCTTCGTCCTCGCTTTTGATCTTGACCTTGTGTACTCTCGCTCTCATCACTTTTTTTTTAAGTCTTGGCTGTTTCAAACGTATAAGAACTCATCTATCTGGTAACCTATTTTGACATTCGACAAAAACAGAAACAAATAAGCTATTTTATGGTATGATTTTCAAGCTACCTTTGAACATTTGGTCAACTAATAAGTGCTAACTTAATCACAAATTGCTTAAAAATTAATTGTAGGCCGTAATAAAACTTAAATTCTCAATACAAATGTTCACTGAAATGCACAGTGTACCTAACTGTAGGTGGTGTATATTAAAATTGTACTAATTTTATTGTGAAAATTATATTTTAAACAATGTGGACCAAAAATATTCATATCTTCTATAAACAAATTGAAAGTAAGTAAATGTTAATATTAATCAAGGTCTTTCTTGACCATGTCTAGAGTTCTTATTACAGTTTTTAATAAATGTTATTACGTAAGTGGAGTTTGGTGTAGAAAAGACACAGTGAAGAACAAACTAATACAGTTTGTTTAGGATAAAAAGCTCTTAGAACAAAGGGAACTGCTCGTCGAGAGCGACAATAATAGCACCGTGGTAAGAAACTAGGACTTGTTTGCATCACTTCAGTCCTCATCAATTCATCATGATAGGAAGTGATTATGCTTCGTCCAGGCATGAGAAGTGAGAAATCGCCGACAACACATTTGGTATGAAAAGCAGTACAACAGTCGTCACATTTGTAGAACCAATTTATTTCTATACTTTCCTCGCATATATCACACCAATACTCTCCTTTTGTATTGACTCTGTAACATAATGAGAGTGGATGATCGTCATACCAATGTTTTGTTGTTTTCGGCAAAACAACACATTTACGATCTAGCACAAATTTACAGCCATCGCAGCAAAATGTTGAAAAATCCCGCTTTCCGCAAGCAACACATATCTCCACATTCCCGTAAATGTAGTACAAGGGACATCCATGACTTTCGTGGAAGATAGGTTCAGAAAGTTCACTACATTTTACATCTATCGTTAAATTTTCAGTACCATACCTGAAACCACTGGACCAGATAGAACATGCCGAACATTTAAACTGTGTCATGCCACCACTCGTTATAGTTAATGGCTTGTTATAATACATATGTCGTTTCTTCCTAGGAAGATTAGCACATGTTTTGTGGAGAATGAAATCGCATTGAACACAACTGTAGAATGCTTGATAGTTTATAGGTGAGACACAAGCTTCACAACGACCGTTACCACCGCCTGTGATTTTTTCCTCGTTGAGTTGTAGATAATGTTCCTCGTGACTAAAATGGTGTATTAAGTTTTCACTTATCACCTTAAATGGTTTAATTTCTTGAAGTTCTTCAGGTGTCCCTTTGAGTTCTAACCTATCCCAGACATCATCTCGTATTGCACATTTAGAATGAATGGCATAAATAGGACAAATCGAGCATGAATATGCCCCACATGACCAATCAACTTTCTTGTAACAAATTCCACATATCCTATTCCCAGGACTTAGCTGAAGATGTCTAGTAAGACGATGCTCGTGACGATTAACGTTGATGATCTCTGGTAAGTCAATACAACTCTGATGGATCATGAAATCACATCGTTGGCATGAATAAGGACTTCGGTCGCCATTCATCCCACAAGCATCACAGTTAAAAGAGAAGATCCGTGGCATAAGACTGATTTGATGGTCATGAGTCTTTGCAAATAAGATTGTAAGTGGTGGTGGATTCTTTACACAAGCAACATCCACACTAAATTTACAGATTGAACAATGATAAAATCTTCGCCCTAGATAGCGGCTACATATACGACATTTCCCATCAAGGAAATGATGTTCTTCACGTGTAAGGAACTTAAGAGGGTGTTTAGGATGACAAGGATGAGTTACCTCTAGAGGAAGATTTAAACATTCAAAGTCGAATTTCAACTGACACTGAAAACATTTGTAAATATACATACTACGATATAGCTCTTCACAAAAGTCACATGTGTCATTGTAAACGTTTTTCAAGTAGACAAGAGAGTGTTCGTGGGCTTTGGGATGTTCAATTACATCTGGTGGTGGATTTTTTATACATGCCGTATCAACAACAAATTCACATAAAGGACAGTGATAAAATATATGATGTAATGTTTCCCCACACAACTTACAGTTTCGACGATCGGAATAATTCTCCACGATGGAAAGGTGGAGAGGGTGTTCAGGATGAGATGGATGGTTGATCTCTAACGATGACTCTGCACATTCTTTATGAAAAACGATTCTACATTCGTAGCAACGATAGCCATCTTTTGTAACCACTTATTCGATTGCAACCATCGCAACTGTGAACCCAAGGCGTAGGGTATAAAGGGTGTTTGTGAGTTGGTAGTTTTATTCTAATCATGGTGATAAACGTTTGTGATGATGTTGAGCACGATGATCGATGTATTTATACCAATTAACAAGTAAAAGATTCTTGATTCATAAGAAAATAACAAGAAAAGAATACATGCTAAACTTATGAATATGTTTCTCCTCTTGCAAATGCTAGCTATCATATACCAAATAACAAGTAAAAGATTCTTGATCATAAGAAAATAACAAGAAAAGAATACATGCTAAACTTATGAATATGTTTAGGGGTTTTATTACTAAAAACCTTTTTAAAAACCAGCATACTTATACGGATGTGGTGGGTAAGTCAACGTGTCATTTGTTACGGACAAAAGGCACGACTCGCCGTCACCGCGTCAATATTTATACGTTGCTCTAAACTCAAACTACTGATGTAGTCAAGGTGGATTTAGTGTGTCATCCAGAAGTAGTTAAAATAATACCGTTTCATTAAGCTTGTCATAATAAGAGTAATAAAGCTTGACAAAAGGCACGACTAAGACCATGTTTATTGCAGGTCCCTTAAGTTGGGTCCCTTAGCGTACAGTCCCTTAGCTTTTAACTGAAAACGCTAAGGGACGTCCCTTAAATCCCTTATATAAGGGACGTCCCTTAGCGTTTTCAGTTAAAAGCTAAGGGACTGTACGTTAAGGGACCCAGCTTAAGGGACCTGCAATAATCATGCTCTAACCCTAATGTCGTTTTGTTGTAAATGGAAAAATAAATAAATAAGGTATATCTCAGCTAAGGAGAACACGTGTTAGTCCATGAATCCATCTTTCTCCCGATCGAGATGCCCTACCATCGTCATCGCGTTCTATCTTAAATTTACCACTTTGCAACTTCTAAGAAACTTCTTGTCCTTTTTTTTTAAGAAACGTGTTCTTTCCTGAAGTAGTCTAATTCAAATAATTTTATATAACGATAATATTATGAATATTCCCAAAAAAAACTCAAATGCATAGAAGCGTACAAGATTACGTACACCAACCATGGTTCCTTACCGCGTAAATCTTTGAATAATGCAAAATATAGCTTAATGATTTGAAATCAAATTAATCCTTCAACTAGGACAGTACTTTCATAACACTGTACATTATATTATATCGAGTTAGGGCAGAGGTTTTAATCAAACAAGAACGAAATATCAACCGATATCTTTATGTAATAAAAACTAAGCTACTAACTTACAATTAAGATCAACAAAAGAAACTAAACTGGAGTAAAATGTTTATAAATTCCTTCATCTACATAGTCAACAGACTCAACACTCATAGGCTCATTGCTAAGATCTAGTCACACACATATATGTATATATATTGAAAAATACCACCTTATTTGTAAATTATAAACACCATAAAATACAAAATAATAATATTATACTATTACTAGAAAAGATATTCATGGGAAGACTGAGTAGTAGATCAGTCACAATTAATAATGATAATAATATCTTTACACCATTCAAAAAGATTGCTATACTATTGTTGTGCCCTGCTATGCATATATATAACGCTTTATCATAACATGCTTTTTCTTTTTGTAATTTTATTATATTAATCAAACATGTTTTACGCAGTGAAATCTCTCAATCAAACAGTGACCAGTAGAGCTTCATCTAAAATAAATATTACAAAACAATAATAAAATAATAAGACAAAGAAAGTCAAGTCACCGTCAAACCAATCTCCTTCACCACGTTCACACCTTCACGGCACGCGCTTCCTTCGTTTCTGTAACTTCTCCTCTCGCAGACAAAGAAACTAATTTTGGATTCGAAGGTAACGAGGTTTTGCTCTCTATCTCTCTCTCTCTTCAATCTATGAAGTTCGATCCGTGTTCTAGGGTTACGTTTCTGTCGGTTTCTCTGCTTATTGAAGATGATTGACTTCGTCGCGCGAAGTTCAATTTGGTTTTTGATTCCGCTTTTTCGCTTTTCAGTTGCACCTTATAAACATTCCCACGTCTGAGAATTTTAGCATATATGTGCTAGCTGCAACTCCTCTAGCTTGTCACGTGCCACTGCGTGTATAGTGTTCATAAATATAACAGTGGACTTGCGAAAGCTAAGGGTCTGTCAGCACCTGGGAAGTTTGATTATTCTTCTGGTGGTGGGGCAGATAGGTCTTTATACAGGTCTAACTTAGCTGCACAGATGGAAAGATCTAGCAGCTTTTCGAGAGACGATTGAACATCCTGTCTCATCTTCTCACCCTAACACGTTGAGGAGCACTTCAACATTAGTACAACCGATGTAACAAATTTCTTTCAGTGTTGCGTTTTGATCCCAAGGTGGTTGCCGCGGATCACAAGTCTATTCGTCACTTTAAGCGTCATGTGAATTTTGCTCTTGGGATTCAGAGAGATGAATCTCCAAACACAACGCTGAAAGGGAAGTTAGTTCCATCTCCTATACCAGAAGAGATCAAAAGTCTAAAGGCTGGTCTACGCGAAAACAATGTGAAGGCCAGGTAGTTTATTACAGTAATTTGATAGATTCTGTTCACATACAACTTTTAATATGAAGAATATATTTAAAACATATGGATAAAAGTGTTTATCATCTATATATAAACAAATTAAAAGTAAATAGATCAAGTTTACATTCGTTTGGGT